TGATTCTTTTGAGTCGCAAAAGTAGATCTGGCTGATTCTTTTGAGTCGCAAAAGTAGATCTGGCTGATTCTTTTGAGTCGCAAAAGTAGATCTGGTGAATTTACAGAATGGGTTTATTCGCTTGTAAAGAAGAGAAGCTTTCACAAGAAGATAAACAGCAAAAAGGCAAGACGAGCTCGAGCTTGACGGCAACGACAAGCATTCTCCCAGCTCGACAGCTCGGTAGGAACAAAGCAGCCCCAGCTCGACGGCAGCAAAGCGATCTCCCAGCTCGTCACCACATACTAAACAAATTTGTAAAGAAGCTCATTGAGGAAGATGCGAGCAATCAACAAAATATGATGATGGTCAGCCTAAACTTGCAACAAGCATCCTTCCTGGGCAATAAACCATTTGAGCTTGACCACCACTTTGCGATGATTGAGGAGATAAATCTTAACCTTTCATTATTTTACTTTGTTTCCGATATTTTATTTTCTTTTGCTATAAAGCAAGTTGGAATCTTCCTCACCTTTGAATTTGTTCTTGTAGAATTCAAGAGACAAGTCCCCGACCAAACAAGTCCCCGACTAGGTAACTCACAAGTATGAAAATCCCTCCAATCAGTTGCTAGGGGAACAAAAGCCTATGGTTCCAATGCTAGAAGAAGGCTAAATAGCTATGGCCGGGCTAACTATGGCTAGGCTCCATTACTCAAGCTTGACAATGATTAGCTGCAAGCCATAGAACAACTTCAGCGATCAAAGGGAGGGTCCATATCATAGATGAGCTGTTATCGAAGTGTCCTCAACAAAAAGCCATACAACAAGTGACTTCTCTCGATGAAACTATTTTACACTTTGCAGTGAAGAACATTCAATTTGGAGCTTTCAAAGTCCTTTTCGAAGCATAAAAAAAGTTAGAGGATCATGAGGTGCGACTAAATGCAAAAGATAATGAAGGCAACAGAGTCCTTGAGATGGCAAAAGCCAGAGATCAACTTCAGAAGTCCTAGGCACTCTATGCTGAAACACGAGATGCGAAATGCCGACGTACGAAATGCTAGACCATGAGTTGCGAGATGCCGAGGTCAACCACAAGCTGTAGAGGTCGAGCACCAGCTGCAGATCTCAAACACAAGCTATCGAGGTCAGCCACGAGCTTTAGAGGTCGAGCACGAAGTGCAGAACTCAACCACGAGTTGCAGAGCTCAAACATGAGCTACAAAGGTCGAGCACAAAGTGCAGAGCTCAAACATGAGCTGTCGAGGTCCACCACGAGCTGCAGAGCTCAAACACTTGCTGTCGAGGTCGAGGACGAAGTGCAGAACTTGAGCACGAGCTGTAGAGCTCAAACACTTACCGCCGAGGTCAGCCACGAGCTGCAGAGGCCAAGCACGAAGTGCAGAGGTCGAGCGCGAACTGAAAGATGTGCAGTATGAGCTGCAAGGTGTCAACACCCTCAACAAGGTGCCAACACTTTTCGTGCATCTGTCCTGAAGGGACCGGGTTTTTGTCCTTCTCTGCAAATTCTGTTAACAGTAAAATTACAGTCCCGACCCCTTACTTTTGGATTCTGCACAATTTAATCCTCAAATTTCATATCTTTGCAATTTACTCCTAAGGATTGTGACTTTTTCTAATTAAGTCCTCTCCAGCACAAAATGAAAATTATGCAAAATTAAGTAAATTTTCATAAAATTCAGTAAATTTTCATAAAATTCATCTAAATGTCAATAATATCAAGGCATAAATTTTTACATTAATATGTATATAAATTTAGTTCATCAGCTATGTATTGCTTTGAAAATTAAAAAAGATGAACTCACAATATTTTTCTCTTATTTATTTTACACTATATTTTCTTGACTATAAGACTGGATGCTTTAATTTCTCCTCTTTTCAAATCCTTGTGATACAAGTTGTCAAGAAAGCAATTGAGCTCCACAGCAAATTAGAGTTTTGGTCCAAGCTTGGTCCAATCTTATTAAAATTTATTATTAATTGCTTTCTGCATTCTTTGCATTTATTTCACATTTTTCCATTCATTCTGCACTTGTTTTTGCACTCATGATATCATTTTACCATCTCATTTCTTATATATCATAATCATGCTACTTTGCTCATTTGCACTTATGATTATAAATATCCACTGTTATTTTAGAGATGGAAAAGTGCAGGGACTCGATGTGAGGTGGGTTCTAAAAAAATCCCTTTATTTTCTCTCCACATTTCCTCTTGAGTCACAGCGAGAAGGAGTTAACATCATTCGTAAGGAGCTAAATTCTTTCTCGAGTTTCTATCTCATCAAGCACAATTCTTTCTCAAGTATAAATTAATTCTGCTCTACAAGTCAAGTAAGTGTTACATATTAAAATTTTCAAAATTACTTCGCACATTTAAGATTTTTATGAGTTATTTTGCATGTCCAATCTTTCTTCTTATATTTACAAGCTAGAAAGATTTATTATTACAACATGCATGACTGCTTGTTTATTGGACATGTTAAAGCATAAAAATGCAAATAATGTAATTTATAATTACAACGTTTATGTTTACCAACCCCAAATGTGTGGGTTAAGGGGGGAAAAGAGTCATCACTATGACTTATAATAGGAACCTATGATTAAAAAGTGCAACTTCATAATTTACTTTAATTACAACTATTAATTGTGATACTAAGCTTAAGATATATATATGTGTATATATCTGTACCCTTATCATATAATATGGTCAGCCTTGGACTTTAACAACAGGAACTTCATGTGCTGACTTAGGAACTTAAACAAGTTCATAAAACTTGGTTGAGCTCATCCTCACAACCCATCCCGAGGTGAAATACCTTGGATGAGGTAAACAACCTCGAATGAGCTCAATCCGACTTTAACTACTTGAGCTCATCCTCACAATCCATTCCGAGGTAAACTACCTTGGATGAGGTAAACAACCTCGGATGAGCTCAATCCAAGCTCAACTACTTGAGCTCATCCTCATGCTAGCCCATCCTGAGGTGAACTACCTTGGATGAGGTAAACAACCTAGGATGACCTCAACTGCTTGATCTCATCCTCATGATAATCGGGTGAACTACCCCGGATGAGGTAAATGACCCTAGATGAGGCAAACGACCTCGGATTAACTCGGACTACCCCCTACCCACATAACCTCCACATCATTCACAAGTGAATGACTCCCAGAGGGGGAATAGTGTGATGGTAGTCTGATGTGAACCACCTTGGATGAGGTAAACAACCTTAGATGAACTCGACTGCTTGAGTTCATCCTCATGACAACCCATTCCAAGGTGAACTGCCTTGGATGGTGTAAGCAACCTCAAATGAACTCAACTACTTGAGCTCACCCTCATGACAACCCACTCCGAGGTCAACTACCTTGGATAAGGTAAACCTCAGATGAACTCAACTACTTGAGCTCATTCTCATAATAGTCCTTTCCGAGGTCAACTACCTTGGATAAGGTAAACAATCTCGGATGAACTCACCCTCATGACAACTCATTCCGAAGTGAACTCCCTTGGATGGTGTAAGCAACCTCGGATGAGCTCAACTGCTTGAGCTCATCCTCATGACAGCTCATTTGGATGAGGTAAACAACCTAAGATGAACTCAACTCCTTGAGCTTATCCTCATGCTAGCCCGTCCGAGGTGAACCACCTTGGATGAGGTAAACAACTTTAGATGAACTCAACTGCTTGAGCTCATCCTTGTGACAACTGAACTCAGGTCTAGCTTGTAACCAACTTGCCATTTCACTAGCCATCCTGTTCCACCTCTCATGGGCCATTCATTAATAAGATATGCCAAGCCCCTATTTATTAAATATACTGAATATAGTATATTCTTCATGTTTCAACTAAAAGTGAGTGGTTTAAATGACATTTATTTATATTAATACATTTGTGGAGCCTCATGCAAATGGTGGAATAATCCACAAACTAGTGATATCCACGAGCTGGTGGTCTCTATTATTGGTTCTAACTTAAAGAGATAAATCTCTTTTTGAGAGGGGGAGTAGGAATACATAAACAACAAAAATAAACTTTCACATTTTACTTGGCATGTGCTTAACTTGCTGCTTGAATATATTTTGAAACTCATATTTTAGCATTGTTTATTTTGATGACTCATGTCACAAACATTTATATTTAATTCCAAATTATTATGCCACTTTAATGTTGATGCATCTCATATATTATTGATTATTGATGAACTAATGGTATCTTGTCAAGTTCTATGTTTAGAATGAATTCTTACTGGTCTCATGAGTTTGTTAACTCCTTGGCTTGGAAGACTCAGAAATACGCTATCAGCTTTTAAACTTATCAGTTCATCAGAAAATACTATTGGCCCTTGAGCCCATTAACTATTGGCTTTTTTAGCCCATTCGATCTGCAAGAGCTTGCGTCCATCAACTATCAGCTTCTCAGCTCATTTGTTCTATGAAAGCTCAGTTCAATCTTAACTCTACAAAGCACAACCCTCAAAGGGGTTTGATTTTATGCTATGACTCGAGAGACCAAGATTTTCTTGTGGGCATCTCAAAGTGGGATTCTATGGTAAGCATCTCCAACTACCAAAATTGGCATTCAATCAACTCTACAAAAATTGGTTCTTATCCTAGCTCTATAGAGCATGACTCTCAGCAGTCTTGACTTCCATTATTATGGCTCATGAGGTCGCAAGTCGTCACTTTGGAGTTGTAATCCCCCAGTCATTGCATTTTATCTCGGCTACGACCCACATGGCTCCAGTCATTGCATTTTATCGGCCCACATGACTTCGGTCATTGCATATTTCCTCGACTACGGCCCACATGACTCCAGTCATTACTTGTTGCTTTGGCTCCGGCCACATGACTCTGGTCATTACTTATTACTTCAGCTTCAGCCGCTATGACTATGGTCATCATTATTTACGTCGGCTCCAGCCATAGTGACCCCGAGTCATATTTTACTTCATCTCTGACCATAGTGGTCCCAAGTTACATATTTTGCTTCGGCTCCGACCCACAGTGACCCAGTCACATGTTTTGCTTCGGCTCCGACCCACAGTGACCCAGTCACATGTTTTACTTCGACTCCGGCCCACAGTGACCCAGTTCACATGTTCACTTCGGCTCCGGCCCACAGTGACTTAGTTCACATGTTTCACTTTGGCTCCGGCCCACAGTGACCCAGTTCACATGTTTCACTTCAGCTCCGCCCATAGTGACCCAGGGTCACATGTTTTGCTTCGGCTCTGGCCCACAGTGACCCAGTGTCACATATTTTACTTCAGCTCCTACCATAGTGACTATGCGTCACCTATTTTACTTCTGCTCCAAACATAGTGACCACACGTCACCTATATTATTTCGGCTCTAGCCACAGTGATTGAGTCATCAATTTTACTTTGGCTACGGCCATAACACATGACTCCATGTCATTCAATTTTACGTCAGCTACGGCCATAACACATGACTCCATGTCATGCAATTTTACTTCAGCTACGACTATGACACATGACTTCCTGTCATACATTTTTATATTGATTACCCCCATCTACACTCATCTTCCACACTAATCATTCACAAGTGAATGACTTCGAGGGGGGAATAGTGTAAGGATAGGTCCGAGGTTAAGGACCTCGGACGTACTGCTATAATTCCTTTATAACCGGAGTGAAGGATAAATCTAGCACTTCCCGCTCAAACAACTGCATGACAGCAACTATAAGCATGCCCGCACCTGATTCCTTATGACCAGCTGCACAGCAATTACGATGGACACTCTCGCATCTGAATATCTCTCAATTTCCCGGTTCCAAAATAACCGTCTAGATAGACACATCAGACTCCGATTATCTTGCTTGGCATGCCACGTGGGTTCCTCACTGGAGCCTATAAATACTGCCCAGGGGCCACGCCAAAAGGTAATTGAAACCAACCCTAAGCTCCTTTTATCTCCACTCTAAAGTAGCCCCGATTATTGCTGATTTAAGCATCGGAGTGTCTACCTCGAGGTCCGCCTCAGGGCTTTGTAGGTCAATCCGGAGTGCGAACGCGGACTGAAGAAGGACTTCTGGTTTGGTGCAATTACACTTATTTTTTCTACAAAAATGATGTTTTAAAGTACTATTCCAGTTTTTTGTTGGCCTTTAGGGCCCAAAAAAATTCTATAGAGGTTGTTTCTACTTTTATCCAAAAATATGAGCTCAAAGCATCAAGACCAGTGACAGTAACTTTAACCACATTCTACATGCGCAACAAATGAAGTTATATACCTTATTGACCCAGAAAAATGCATATTAAAACACTGGATTTCTCTAGTCTAAAAAAAAGCATAGGCAAATCAATAAAAATTAACATTTCTAATCAAAACACTATGTATGATAAGGACACAAACTGTATCTTAATTTATAATTAAGTATTGTTTTATGTAAATAATTTCAATTTTATTAGATAGCTAAATTTGCCCCTGTTTGCATAGTATTCACTGCATCAGAAGAGTTTAATATAGTGTTTTTTATTACTGATCTATTGAAAAGTATATATAAAGCAATATTGTCACTTGCAATTAGGAGTTATTTTGTGGGGGTTAGTGTTTATCCGCCTTACCTTCAAAAAATTAGGAGGAAAAAGAACAAAAATCACCTTAATGCATGCTTTAAAAATAGGGTAGTTTAGTCTTTTTCAATAAAAATTTATTGAAACGATATAGTTTTGGGATGATTTTTCTCCTAATCTTTAGAAGGTAAGGTTGATAGGCACCATTTCCTATTTTGTGATAGGTTAGAGTATCTTTTTGTGCACTTTATATTACATATAATAAAAACATTTTCATTTGCAGTTCAAAAAAAAAAAAAGTCTTGTAGAAGTTAGCAAAGCATGGTTCCATTTAACTAAGTTTGTTAGGAACATTAGTAGCCTACATCTAATAATTCCTTGCACGAAAAATTCAGAAAATTCAACTACTTCATTAAGATAATTAGAACTTTGACTCATCTTGAGATGAAATTCAAATGTTTGACTCCTCATAAATTTGTTTTTCAAAAATTCTTAAGCTAAATAAGATGTTTAGGAGTTAGTTTTTCATTTTTTTTTTTTGAAACAACATGCGAAAGTTAATGATACGGGTGTATTTATTGCACCCATAATTAGTTTGTATGAAAATATAATTATTGAATTTGATTTAATTAATTTACTGATTGAAATTATCAATGTGACAATAGTATTATAATAAATGTCAATTTTTGTATTATTTTTATATGAATTAATTATAAAAGAGTGCATCTATTAACCTTTATTTTTAAGGAGAGAATCTTTTTTAATTAAGACCCTAAAAAAGGTGAATTTATACGTTACTCTCTCTTTTTCCTTTTTTAATTAAGACCCTAAAAAAAAAAAAGGAAAAAAGTGTGGGGCACACCACCTACACCCAAATACAATGTCTTTCCCTTTCTTCCTATTCAAACCCTAGAAGCCTTCTCTTCTTGAAACCCTAAAATAGAGCTTTGCAAATCAACAAATTTGGGTGGTATGGAGAAGAATTCTTTAGTAAATCTTGTTATTTTCTCCAGACATGGCAGATCAGCTTCTTGGTTTCTTGTTCCTCATCACCATTGATTTCAAACCCAGATCTTTTCTTACTTCTCCAAAGAATGTGACTTTCGATTTCCAATCCTTCACTCTCTGCAACTTGACCTTCCTTAGTGACTTCCTTCTCCAAAAAGACATTGTCAGCCTCACCCAAGAACTTGGTGTTCCCTTTTCAAGCTTTGACACCGTGATTTACAACTACCCAATTCCATTTTTTGATAAAGAATCTAATACCAAGGCTTCTTTCCACACAAGATTCTCTTTCTTGATCAAGAACTTTGAATCCGAGTTCTTTTGGTGATGCGTTGGCATTTTTCCTTCCTCTGAATAACTGGATATGGATTCCGTGGCATGGAGTAATCGTCACACAATGAACCAAACCCAGATTGAGTTTCTTTTCGTGCCACCATTCTTTTCCCATTTTGATGTCATTTTTGGTGCTTTTTTTTCTTTTCAATTTGTTCTTCTTTCTTTGCTAGATGCCTTGAACTTGGCAAGGGAAGCACCATGGGGCCTTGATTCTTGGCAATGATAAAGAGGAGGCAATGATGCCTCTTGTTCTAATGCTGTATGTCTGATAAAAATTGAGTTGGGTTTGTTTTGTTCATGAGTGGATTTGTGGAGTTATAGCTTATTTTTAATTAATATGTTTTCTTTTTTATCAATTTGATTAATGGGAACACCAATAATTAACAAAACAAAATTTTAGATTACATGGATGAATTGAAGCTCTTGAGAGTTTTCGAGTTCTTTGGATTCAAAACTCCAAAATCCATTGTTGATTTGCAATGTTTTGTTCTTTTAGTGTTTCAAGAAGATAAGGGCTTTTGGGTTCGAATGGGAAGAAGAAAGGGGAAGACATCGTATTTGGGTGTAGGTGATTGGTGGGCGACATGCTTTTTTTTTTTTTTTTCCAAGTCAAGGCAAAAATTATGTGCCAGAAGTTATTTTTCCATGTCATTATTTTTTTCCATGTTGTATATTTGATGTGTCAAGATATTTTAACATGTCATCATGTTTTTGTCAAGTGATGAGACACATCACTAGATTTTTAACAAAGGGACTAATTTGAAGCTAAATTACAAAACTTTAGAGACTAAATTAGGGATTTTTTTAGTTGAGGGACTAACTTGGGGTTTAACCTAATTCTTTACATGATGAACTTAACAAGTTCAACTACTCGGTTAGGATAGTTAGAACTTTGCTTTATTGTATGATGAAATTTTAAACGTTTGACTCCTCATGGAATCCAAACAAAGTTTCTACGTGTAATAATTCCAACAAAGGAGAATTTATAGAAGCATAGAGTATTGAGTAGTGATGAAGATTTGTCATGTGTTTTATGTGGAAAAGGGATTGAAAGCTTGGATCACCTTTTGTTTTCATGTCCAAAAGCATGGAATGTGTGGTCCTCTTTTTATAATTGGTGGGGCATTAATGTGGTATCCCAAGACAGGGTTGGAATCACTTGATTCAACATTTAGGGCTATTCAACAACAAGACTACAAAGGAAGCTTGGGTGGTGATTTGGTTTGTAGTTGTGTGGAATATTTGGCTATGGAGAAATCAAAGGGTATTCAAGGCAAGCTTGGAACCCTAGTACAAAATTACTGAGGTGATTAAATACCAAACTTTTCAATGGATCAAAGTTAACTTGTGGCTAGAAATCTCTAAGGAATTATGGTATGTAAATCCTATTCAAGCTTCAAAAATGGCACTAAAGGGAGTGTCTTAACTGGCTAGTAGAGAATTCACATAGGGTTGGAAGCCATACGCATTGTGCATAAGGTATTGTTACCACTGTTGTATTATATTATGGGGTAGTTTTCTTATGATTGTGTTGATTGCATTGCCTTATATTTATAACCAGTTTATTTTGTATGGGTAGAGTATCCCTTATACTCCAATTTAATAATATTTTATTTGCTAATAAAAAAAAAAAGTTTGACTCCTTGTAAGTTTTTCTTTTGAAAATTTTAAGTTTAAATAATTAAGTTGAATTAGATGTGTGGAGGTTAGGTTTTTTTTACTTATATGTATGGGGAGAAGGCTTTTAATTAAGATTCCAAAAAAAGATAAATTTAGAATTTACTAATTGTGATGAAGGTATAAAGATAATAAGTTAAAAAATTATTTTGTTGATTAATTACATAATTGAGCATTATATTTATTTTTAATCATATGCTTTTATTGTTATGTAACTTCAAGTCCTAAAGATACCAACATAAATTTCTTTTAAGTGATATTTTGAGCTAATAATAAAGAGTTACTAGAAATTAATTATTTTGTATAAATTTTAATTTCACATAACCTATATGGAGTAATAACTTGAAGTTTTTGAGTTATATAAATACCAATCGTAAATTGGCTAGCCAGTGTGCTCAAGCTCTCTGTCATTTAAACTAAGAGAATTCACTATCCCTTAAATTATGACAAGCTTCAAAGTTTTCTCAATTTTGTTAGCTTTGGTTATGGCAAGTGGAGTAGTCATGGCTCATGAAGACGATAAGAATTACCTTATAAAGAAACTTGGGTGTGAAAGCAAGATGCATGTAAAATGTGTGAAGCATGTTTTTTCAAGCATATTTAAAGTTGGAATCATCATAAATAGTTGCTATTATGAGCTTGCAAAGTCTGGCCCTCTTTGCCATTTTTGCATTGGCTTATAGAACTTTTCAAACTGAATTTAAATTTTCTAATGCTTTACAAATTTTAGTTAAAAGTGCACACATGTGGAGCAGGTGTCATTTACTTTCATCATAGTTTGGTGAAATAACTTCAATCTTAACTCCTTCAATTGCATAAGACTAGTTTGGTTCATTTTAAACAGAAACAAATAATTCAAATTAATAAATTTTTATCCATTTTAAGATTTTGTTAAACCCTTGTTCTATATGTGTTTTAAGTGTATTTCTAAAATGAAACTCATCACAATATCAAAATATATAGTTTTATTTTCTTATTATTTGTAGAAAAATGGCATTTTAAAGTACTATTCCATAATTTTACAGGCCTTTAGAGGCCCAAAAAAATTCTATAAAAGCTCTTGTTTAACCTAATTCTAAATGACTTACAAACGATGTTATATATGTAATTGACTTAAAGAAAATTTCTTAATTAAAAGATCAAATTTCTGTAATTCCAAAAAAAAAAAAAAAAAACCAATGGCAAATAATAAAGATGAACATTTTGATCAAAACTGTATATATGATAAGGACACAAATTATATCTTAATTTGAAATAATTTTTATTTGGTAAGTAAATTTCTCCATGTTTGCATAATATTCATTACATCAAAAGAGTTTAATAAAGTCTAGTACACTATTGCTGTAATGGAGAGTATAAAGTAATGTTACTTGTCATCAATGGTTATTTTGTAAGAGGTGAGGGTACCCTTTGTAGTCTTCATATCATATATAATAAAAGAGATTTCGTTTACTGTTAAAAAAACATCTAGTACATACAAGTAAAGTGTGCATTCATTTAATTGAGTTTGATAGCAATATTACCTATCTGCATCTAATAATTCCTTACATGGTAAACTTTGGCAATTTTAACTAGTTGGTTAGGGGATAATTAGATATTTGACTCTTTGTAAGATAAAAATATTAAATGTTTCTTTTTGAAATTCTTAAGTTCAAATAATTAAGTTGAATTAGATGTGTAGGAGTTAGTTTTTTCTAGGAATAATGGGAGAAAGTTATTTCATATATATGGGGAGGGGATTTTTAATCAGGCCTCTAAAAAAGGTGAACTTATACTTTACTGTGATGTAGGAACAAATGTAGCAAGTTAAAAAATTATTTCTTTAATTAATTAAATATTTGAGTTTTATATTATTTTTTAGTTATACGTTTTTATTGTTATGTAACTTCAAGTCTTAGAGTTATATAAATACCAACATAAATTTATTTTGAGTGATATTATGAACTAATTAATAAAGAGTTAATGGAAATTAACTAGTTTTTATGAATTTTAATTTTATGTAACTTACATGAAGTAATAACTTGAAGTTTTTAGATTATATAAATACCAATCTTAATATGGCTAGGCAATGTGCCCAAGCTCTCTTGTCATCCAAACTAAGAGAATTCACCATCCCTTAGGTCATGACAAACTTCAAAGTTTTCTCAACTTTATTAGTTTTGGTTATGGTAAGTGGAGTAGTCATGGCTCGTGATGATGCTGAGAATGACCTTATCAAAAAACTTGGTTGTGAAAGCAAGATGCATGTAAAATGTGTGAATCAGGTTTTTTCAAGCATATTTGAAGTTGGAACTGTCACAGATAGTTGCTGTTATGAACTTGCAAAATCAGGTCCACTTTGCCATTTTGCATTGGCTGATAGAACTCTTCAAACTGAATATAAAACTTCTAATGCATCAAAAATTTTGGTTAAAAGTACACATGTGTGGAGTAGGTGCCTTGCACACTCTCATCACAATTTGGTGGAGAACTAACTTCACTGTCAACTCCTTCACCTACATATAGCTAGTTTGGTTCATGCTAAACAAAAACAAATAATTCAAATTAATAAAACTTTATCAATTTTTAGATTTTGTTAAAACCCTCTGTTATAGGAGTGTTGAGTGTTTATTTCTAAAATAAAACTTATCCCGTTAACAAAATATACTGTCTTATTTTCATATTATTTCTGGAAAAATGGCATTTTAGAGTACTATTCCATATTTTATGCACATTTAAAGGCCCTAAAAAATTCTATAGTGGCACTAGCAGCCCTTAGTGGGCTGGCAATGTGCATCAAACACCTTAAACCATACTAAGGTTCAAGTTCCTGTTGGGACAGTTGTAATATTTCCCACTTCCTGCCAAAATTTGCCCTTGTTCATAACAAAAAATTCTATAGAGGCTTTTGTTTTATCAAACACATGAACTTAAAGCATCAAGATAGGTGATACTAAGTTTAAACTAATTCTAAATGGGTTAAAAGTAATGTTATATACTCAATTGACTTAAGAAAAACTCATTAAAACCTCAAATTTCTCTAATTTGAAATGAAAATAACAAAGGTAAATCAATAAAGATGAATATTTCTAATCAAAACTGTGTGTAAAATAAGGACACAAACTAATCTTAAGTTGTAATATTTTTTAATTGATTAGTAAATTTCTCTTAGTTTGTATACTATTCATTACATTGAAAAGAGCTTAATAGAGTCTAATACACTATTAATCCAATGTAGAGCATAAAGCAATGTTACTTGTGGTAAACAGTTACTTTGTAATAGGTTACGGTACCCTTTGTATGCTTTATATTGTATGTAATAAAAGAGATTTCCTTTGCTGTTTAAAAAGCAATGTCTAGTGCACGCAGGCAAAGCAGGGTTTGTTTAATTGAGCTGTTTAGCAACATTAGCAATCTATCCCTAATAATTTCTTGCACGGTAAATTTGCCAAGTTCAACTACTTGGTTAAGATAATTAGAACTTTGACTCTTTGTAAGACCAAATTTTAAATGTTTAACTCCTCATAAATATGTTTTTATGAAATTCTTAAGTGCCAATAATTAGTTTGAATTAGATGTGTATGAGTTATTTTCTTTTAGAAACATTATGAGACAGCAAAAGTTATTTTCTATGTATGGGGAGGGGTTTTTTAATTAGGACACCAGCAAGGTGAATTTATAACTTACTAATTGTAATGTAGGTACAAATATAACAAGTTAAAAAATTATTTTATTAATTAATTAAATAATTGAGCTTTATATTTATTTTTTTATCATATTCTTCTATTGTTATATATGTAACTTCAAGTCCTAGAGTTACATAAATACCAACATAAATTTCTTTTGAGTGATAGAGTTACTAGAAATTAACTAATTTGTATAAATTTTAGTTTTACGTAACTTAAATGGAGTAAGAACTTGAAGTTTTTGAGTTATGTAAATACGAATCCAAATTTGGCTGGCTAATGTTCTCAGGCTCTCTGTCATCTAAACCAAGAGAATTTACCATTTGTAAATTATGACAAACTTCAAAATTTTCTCAACTTTGTTAGTTCTGGTTATGGCAAATGGACTAGCCATTGCTCATAGAGACACTAAGAATTACCTTATAAAGAAACTTGGGTGTGCAAGCAAGATGCATGTAAAATGTGTGAAGTAGGTTTTTTTAAGCATATTTAAAGTTGGAACTGTCATAGATAATTGCTGTTATGAACTTGCAAAATCTAGTCCACTTTGCCATTTTGCATTGATTGATAGAACTTTTCAAACTAAATTTAAAACTTCTAAATGCATTACAAATTTTGGTTAAAAGTACTTCTGTGGAGTAGGTGCCTTGCACTTTTGTCATAGTTAGGTGAAGAACTAACTTCAATGTTAACTTTACCACTTGCATATGGCTAGTTTGGTCCATGTTAAACAAAAGTAAATAATTTAAATTAATTAAACTTTATCCATTTTTAAATTTTGTTAAACCCTTGTGTTATATGTGTTTTGAGTGACTATTTATAAAATGAAACTCATCTCATTAACAAAATGCGTAGTTTTATTTTCTTCTTTTAAAAAAAAAAATGGCATTTGAGTATCATTCCACATTTTTATGGGCCTTTAGTGGCGCGGAAATATTCTATAATGTCTCTAGTTTTGTCCAAACACATGAACTTAAAGCTTCAAAATTGATAAAAATAAGTTTAACCTAATTCTAAATGGCTTACAAGTGATGTTACATATGTAATTGACTTGAAAAAACTTAATAAAACTTCAAATTTTTCTAATTTAAGAAAAAGTAAAAATAGCAAATGCAAAGCAAATAAGTTGAACATTTCTAATAAAAAATGTATCTATGACAAAGACACAAATTATATCTTAATTTTTAATATTTTTTATTTGATAAGTAAATTTCTCCTTGTTTTTTAGTATTCATTACGTCAAAAGTCAATTTGGCGTAGGTTAATGCCTTCAAAAGTTGGCTTTTTGGGTGGAGGTTATGTCTTGATAGGCTTCCAATAAAATGGAATTTATGAAAAAGAGGAGTGTTTTTGTAGGAGGAGGGATTATTGTGCGGTTTGTATCATGAGGTGGTATAGGAGGTTAACCATTTATTTTGTATGTGTAAGGAAGCTTAGTTAGTTTGGGTAGAAGTGCTGTATTGGTGCGGAATGGAAGCTGTACTGTTGAATATAGTTAGGGGAGTGAATGAATTTTTCTTGCATGGTTTGGGTAGAATTATAGGAAAGGAGAGGGTTGCATGTATCTTTCTTGTTGTTGCATGATACTTATGGTATTGGAGGAATGCTTGTGTATTTAAGAATGATGGGAGTATTGGGGAGCAATTGTTGGATATGGTACAAACTAAGTCCTTTTTTTAGATTAAAAATAAAGTGGATGGTTGTGTGTTTTTTTTTTTTTTTTATGAGTGGAAGGTGAATCCGGTTGAATGTGTTTTAGCTGTGAAAAGATACAAGAGGCTTCTAAAGACGTTTCATAGGCAGCAACAAGGTTCTACATAAGTTCTGTAGGAAAGGATAAACAGATTGTTGATTTTGGCTGGTAGGTTTCTGTTCTTGGTTATTTATTGCTATTGGATTGATTTGTTAAATAATTGAATTAGTATTCTCACTTTATATATAGGTTGGAGTACCCCTTGTGCTCTTTATAATAATTTTTTTTTCTTTTGCTAATTAAAAAAAAAAAAATCATTACGTCAAAAGAGTTTAATAGAGTCCAATACACCATTGATCCAATGGAGGGTATAAAGCAATGTTACTTGTAGTCAATAATTATTCTATAATAGGTTAGAGTACCTTTTGTAAACTTTATGTTGTGTGTAATAAAAATATTTTCCTTTGTTGTTTAAAAAAAAAAAAAATCTAGTACGCATAAGCAAAGCACGGGTCCATTTAATTGAGTTTGTTAGCAATGTCAATAATCTACATCTATGAATTCCTTGCACGGTAAACTTGACAAGTTCAGCCACTTGGTTAGGATAATTAGAATATTGACTCATTCTTAGATGAAATTTAAATATTTGGATTCTTGTGAATATGTTTTTCAAAAATTTTAAAATTCAAATAATTATACTGTCACACCCCAGAACCCAAATCCGAGGACGTGGCAGACGCCATGCACTCATGAGACGGGTCCCACGAATGCACAAGACTCAAAACTTATCCAATTCACATGACAATCCCATAACTCAGATCGGATATTTCAAAATTTCTTTTCTATGTCCACATGACTTAACCTCAAAATCTCCAGATCAAATCTCTTATAAACTAACAATCCACTAAATGAATTTACAATCTCCAATTAAAATCCCGCTTACAAGATCATTTATATCTAAAATCCATATTCAATTTACACGATGGCTAGCCTTCTAACTCGTCACTCCCCTCGGTTTCCTCGTCCTTGGTATCGCTTCCTGAAATGGTGGACAAGGAAAACTATGAGATAACTCAGTAAGTAAATATAGATAGCCCTTGGGTAAAACTTTTAAGCATGCCAGATAAACCATGTAAGTATAACAGAACTTTCACTGATAAACCGTTAATGCAGAAATCAAATTCGGTTCAATAGCAAAACGTTTCCTGACAAACCGTCAATGCAGAAGAAAACTCAGTTCAGTAGTCTCATTTATAAGTCATGGCCAGTGTTATAACAACCCACTGGCAGGCGACAGAAATTTGCCAATGTATTCGCCCAATGGCAGGCATCGAAATTTACTAGTGTTTAACCCCCACTAGCAAGGTTACAGAAACGAACCAGTTCTATCAATAACATATCGACATGTGCCGACATGTGCTAGCGTTTAACCCCCACTAGCAGGATCATCAATAACATATCGACATGTGCCGACATGTGCTAGCGTTTAACCCCCACTAGCAGGATCATCAATAACATATCGACATGCGCCGA